CATCTACAAAGAATAAACTTTTGAAGTCAACCCAATTCAAGATGGCTGMCACAGATATTAATCAGTAAACRCAAAAATGTCTATTTCTATTGAAAACTGCATACAATCAAACGGACAAAACTCTTTTCATTAAAAAAATGCTAGTTGTGTTTAATTTGTAATGATCAATGTCTTACATTGTTGCTAATATCAAGACTTCTATTTTTTGCTTAGATTTTTCTGYACAATCACCTGACTTTGTCCAACTTTATTTGATTGTGAATGTCATGATTTTTCATATTTTTTTCTAGGGACAAGCTGTCAGTTATCTCCTTTCAAGAACTCAGAGGACATCACTGCCATCAGGGAACTTTGAATTTTTTTTGCCACTTCAGGTGTAGCGCACCAGCCAGACACGACTGGTCAATAGAGTTGTTTGGTACCGGTCCCTTTCTGGGGCCTAATTGCCAATGAAAATCTGAAATATCTCACTTCTTGGATCCCTTCGCCACAACCCCCACCACATCTAACCCCCTACTGAGCAATCCTTATTCTATACTCAAGATGGATATTTACATGCCCCACACCATGGAGAGCAAACAAGCTCATTTAAAAGTTCACATGCTAATGTGTGACATTTAATCCAAACTTTACACGGGGAAAAGGACACGATACAATAGATTTTGATTCCTTTCTTGTCTGTGAATCTCATCATCTTTTGACTTCCATATTTATGAGTTAAAAAGGCGGGACACCTTATAGGAGAGTGAAGAGATGGCGGAGGGAATTTACTCTTAAAAAGTAGGGCTTATTAAGATTTGTGTTGTTTGTTGATACTCCTCATAACATAATTCATTGATTGTTCTTTTTCTGTATATTTGTATTCCAGAAACATAGCTTTGAAGTAGCTTGCTTCAGGTGCATAAGGCATTTAATAACTTCAGTGTTTTTATCAACCAAATTTACAAAACAGCAAACTTGTAATACTTAGAGTATCAGGTAATATCCAGGCTCTCACAGGCTAAGATGATAACTGTCGACAGGACTAGTTGGACCTCATAAATGGGTAATTTGCCAAACAACAAAATCAAAGTTTTTGCAGTTGGCTGGTAAATAAACTTTGAAATATAGTGTCTGGAGATTTAGTCAAAAATATTTTTTGAGATACAACACTGTGGGTAATTTTATTTATTTATTTATTTATTTATTTATTATTTATTAAAAATAGTGGAAAAAAATAGAAAGTGGAAATCCCAAAAGGTCAGCCAAAGTGGCTGTGGTTGAGAAGGATGGTTGGTTTTCAGTGTGAATGTGCGTACTCGACTTTTGCCCAAATAGCTTTTACACAACTACACCTACTACATATTAGATTTCCACACAGACTTATCTGATCTATAATTTATTTGTAGATGTGGATCAATGTTGATTTAGTTTTAGRAACTGGCATAGTTTATGAACAGGAGAACATAAAACAGCACAGCAATGTATGTATTGTCTTTAAACCTCCTACAATTTTTGCATACATGTCAACTTGTATGGATTGTAAGGATTTTATGTCATTTTACAGGTATACAGACGTATAGGGCAATCACGGATTTTTGCAAGTGTTACTGATTTTTTCAAAACCTCATTTTCAAATTGATCTGACATGTCAGAGCCTGTAGGATGATTAAAAAAAACAATAAATAACATCAAACAGCCATCTTCCAACTGTTCTGCCGCTAGAAATAAGTTTTGAACTTTTTCCGCTCTCTTTTCCTCCTGCTACGCAGCGGGCGCTGTCATGTCCACCACCGACAGACCCCTGCGGGTGCGAGTTGTACAGATTTTTTGCAAAATTTACAGATTTTTGAGGCTTTTTATGCAGGTAAACGTCCGAAGAGGTTGACATGTATGTTTTTGTAAATCACAAAAATATGCTTTTCTGTAATACAGAACATGTATAACTGGCCATAATGAAAAGAAGCTATCACAAGATTACAACTTCTCATAAATGTCATTCTGAATTGTAAATGCTGTAAACCGTCCACATTTTAAAAGTGTTCACCAGCATGTAATCAATAATCTGTACAACTCTGACTCATTTAGTGCGTCTTTGGTTCTGAAAGAACTTCCATTTTTGACACATTGTGGAACAATCCATCCATGTATCCATTTATTACTACAAATTAGCGAAGGAGAGATAATCATTCTGTAATATGGTCTTAAAGACTCCTGTTGTTCTGGTAACTGTAGGACAGAACTGATCTAGAAAGTATCTTATGTTAACTAGTCATTTTTAAATAGATGGAATGCTGACATTAGTTGAGAAGTTCACATACCTGGGAACTTGTTCATTAGCAATGGGAGGATAGAAATGGAGATGGATCAATGGATCAAGGTCTTGCCGGAAGTAATGAGGCTGTTGCTCCAGTCAGTGGTGGTGAAGAAGGGACTAAAGCAAAAAAAAAAAAAATAAATCACAGCTCTTGATTTACTGGTCTGTCTACATTTTAACCCTCACCTATGGTTGTAAGGTATGGATCATGAGCAAAAGAACAAGCTCATGGGTAGAAGTGGCTGAAATGAACTTCCTGCATACGATGGCTGGGATCAGTCAGTGTTGTGTCTGCCTGCATGCAGAGAATGAAAGCCAACTCTGAAAACCAGTGAGGCGAGAAAAGTCATTGGTGATGGAGTTGGCGTGATCCCGTCACAAAATAGTCCTGAGCTGTGAGTGCTAAGAAAAAAAGGTTTGTGATGTACAAAGAGTCGGATCTTTTTTTAGTTTCACTCTGACCGTGTCTTTCTCACAGACACACACACACAAATAATCACACACACACACATACGGATCGACCAGGACAGGCCAGGGATGAGCACACCTCATCTGATCTGTGGCCCGTTCATTCATTACACCCATGCTCCCCCCTATTGATTTCAGCTTAAGTAATGAGAAAGCTTATCCAAAAATCTTTAGCATTTGGGCTCCAACTTAAGGGAATCGATGGGGCCATTTCCCATTTTGAGCAGCACATACGCAGAGGTTTTATGTATGGTGAACGGGACAAATCCAGATGCTGATAAATCAATAGACTTTTTTTGTCAATGGAGGGGCACAGTCGCACATACACATGCATGCCTACATGAACGCTCCTGGCTGATAAATGGCATTTTTGAGGCAATTAAAGTGAGCTGTAAACATATGAAGGCCAATCAATTGGTCAGTGAGGTCTATTATCAAGGCTTTAACACTGATTTAGAAGGGACTTTATGTGTGGCACAGTCACTTATGCAGATCAGCAGAAGATAGAGACCTACACAGAGAAGTGCTGCAATATGTTGGGCTGATCACACGTTTTCTAAATGACAGGCCCAAAAATCACAGGCACACAAAGACAGATCTACAGACAACAGACCTAAAATAAACAAGACATTTAGTTAGATATAAGAAAATACAATAAATTTTCAATTCAGTTCAGTTTATTTATATAGCATCAAGTCACAACATACGTTGTCTCAGGGCACTGTACATGAAAAACAAGAACAATCTAAAGAAGAAGCCAGCAGATTGTGTTGAATCACTTCATCACAGTCTCCCATCCTGACCAAACAGTGGAGAGGAAAAACTCCCTGCTAATCAGGAAGAAACCTCCAGCAGAACCAGGCTCAGGACAGGCAGCCATATGCCTCGCCAGTGACACAAAAACTAAAGTTTATTTACGATGGCTAGCTTTTCTTACATGTTGTGTGTTTAAGAGTATTTTTGTACAGTAAAAAAAAATGTACAATTGATAAGGAGAAATTACTGTGCAAGCTTTTACAAGAGTTTGAACACATGAGACTGATTAAATGTATAAACCTTACAAAAAATGGGGATTTGTGCAAGGATGTTGAAAAAATGCTTGGCCCCGCTATGATTATTGTGGCCCCTTGATGGCCCCTTACACTGAAAAATCATAGATCTGCCACTGATTTCTAGTCATTTGTATAACAATCTACCCTTCATATAGCCTTTTCTATTCTTCTCCTCATATTAAAGACTGGCTAAATGTACCATTATGAGGCCTGTAGTGTCTTTGAATTCATTATGTATGGCCTGTGCTGTCAGTTGGTCTGAACACAGCCTGCTTTGAGTCATTACAATTCAGTTGGCTAACACACAGCCATTGTGCTAGTGTGGGGTTAGGGGAGATGCTATAATAAAATATTGAGGGCGAGCAAGGCAGCTGCAGATGCTAGCTGTCATGTGTGAGCGAATGAATGTTATGACAAGCATGTTTAAACATTCATGCGGGGAGGATAGTTTAGGAGGGCTTTTCATTAACACCAATATGTCTTCGTCTCCCTGGTGCAGATACCACTGGTGGAAAGCATGGCAACAACACGGAAGAAAAAATTAACATCTCGAGAGGAAACTGACAGACACACACACAAAAATACACACGCGCGAAGCGAGGCAGAAATGCTTAGTCCTGCGGAAGGACGACACGCTAGCGTACACGTTTTACGTTGGCTGACTAAATCAAACAGACACCAAAACAACTCTCTYTTATTTACCAAGACAACTATGTCAAACTGTAACATTGTGTTCTGAACTGATCAAACGGTTTGCGGCAGGAAAGAGCAACGTGTTCAAATAGGAAGAAACAGGAGTGCAACATGCTCACGTCACCAACAACAATGGTATGAAAGAGAGTATTTTATCTTTGCATAAAGAGTAATTATCAGTGCCAAAAGCACATCCACTGCACGCTGTTAGGCCATCAGGATAATCAATGAGGTAAAGAAAAATAAATAAATAAATTATGGCATTTTTTTAACAGCAAAAAATACGAATGTCATAAAGTGGTAAATCTATGTAACAATTTTATCTCTTCCAATAAACATATCTAAAGTGTGTCTGTAGATTGTGATGAAAAACATTACATGGAAATTACAGTACAGTAGCAAAACAGCTTGACTTTGTTATTGTGCACATGGGGGCTAAAAAAATGCTATCTAACAAAGTGCAGAATCAATACCTATGCTAATATTCTCATGAAGCCAAATGAAGCAAAGGAGCTAAAAATGGGAGCATCACATATTCTCAACATAAGTGGCTTTGACTTGCAAAATGTGTTTGCATAACATGAGCTAGAGTTAATGTCATAAATGGCTCTAAATGCTGCAAGGTGCATTAAAAATGTGCGTAGTCATCTGATTTTTCTTACATACACCTTGATGCAAACATTTTAAATTAATCCAGTTTTCACTGGTCAAGCAATTTCATTTTGATATTCAAATTTTGCATGTACATGTGGTCGTGAAAGCTCTTCCAAGACTGATCTAATCAGGCCTAAATCAGTTAATAAGCCAAGGACACAGAGGAGATGACTCAGCTGATGTGAGCATGAGCCAATATTAGCATCCCAACTAYGTTCAAGACCTGTGGTGCACAGAGCAGTGTTTAGAGTTTGGTACTCAAACTACAAAAGTGCAGGCATTGGACATAAAGGCTGCAGTCGAGCTCACCCCAGTTAATTCCATCAGCACATTAGTAAAAGAGCCRTGACCTGCTGCTAAGAGCGGGTAAAAAAAAAAAAAGATTTAATGTCTTGTTTGTCTTCTAAAAAACACCTAAAGTAGTTTTGAAGGATAGCCAAAAACTGCTCTTGATTATTCAACTAAAGCCAAMAGAAACTGAGCAGAAAGAAAAATAAATGAAAGAAAAGTAATGCAAATGCTTTGATTATAATATTATGAGCTAATCTCTGATTGACTGATCAGAATAATAATTTCCTAATTCTGATCTTCAACACTTTCACCATCAAAATAAAATGTTTAATGAACATGTTGGCTAACAACAATAATTTGCTTATACATAAATCACGTTCTTTAACCTAAAACAGCTTGAGCTTGGTTAGACAGAAAAATAAAATTATTGCTGCATAAAATACACCATTCTTGTACAATAAAAAAGTAATAAATTATAAGATATGAATGTAAAATAAAAGCTACATTTGTAAAACACTCCAAGCTAACCATGCATTAAAAGTGAGCAAATAAAAATGGAGCATTTCTCTGCAGGACATTGTAAGAAAAAAAAGTAAGCTTATCTTTACATCTCGAGCTACAAACACAGGCACACAACAGTAAAACACACTCGGTGAGCAGATGAAGAGCAGTTTTTTTTCCTCACTAAATAAAAATCTGGAATCCCTGAATAAAATTGCAAAACTGGCATCTACCTGCTGTCATTTTCAGATGATCACAAACTGACAAAGTGGCCTGTTTGTGAAGCATTTGTTGAACAAATATTGTGAGGAGATGAGACAATTCAAATTTTCAATTATTTGATGGGGCTTTTTAAAGGYCATAAATGCAAGAATTTAGAATGAACACCAGAAAACTGATGTCTGATTGATGAAAACACCAACTGGAAGTTTTTGTACAAGATTTAACATATAATTGTAACTTCTATAATTAGCCTGGTAAAAACCAGCCCCTTGTGCTTTGCTTCGTACAGAGGATCTGGACTCTCAGCTATGGAGAAGAGATTTCTTGCTAGATGCATGGAGTCTATTGATGTTTAAAGGGGCAATATCATGTAAAATCAACATTTTTGAGTTTTATATCATGTTATAATGTTATACTTTCATAAAAAAAAACATGCCCAAATCCTTGCTTTGACTCATTCATGCATGTTTAAGAAATCCTGCAGCGTTTTTAGGAAGCCATGCAAAGGAGCAAAATGACAGGTGGGGACCAGAAACACCTTTTGGGACCAGAAACGCCCCTGGGACATGTCTTTAAGCTGAACTTCCTCATTGCGGAGCACACCTCCCCCTCCCCACACACCTCGCCCATGACTCCTGCAGGCTTTCGGGTGAGTGTGAAAGTGAAACCTAACTGTCTGCTGAGCTCTCAACATTAGTTCTCACTCAGTGAAGCTCTTTTCAGATTAAAAATACCTTTGAGGAAATGTCCTGATGCATCTCAGTAATCCAGGTAAAAAATCAAAAGGAAAAAAAAATTGTATAGGTCCTCTGGACGGGTTCTTCTTTAATGAAACGATTCGTCTCTCTTCCAAGAGACTTCTTCAGTCTGAGAGTTTCAAGCAAAATTCAGGCTTTTAAGTCCTGCCTCCAGGTGACTGATACTCATATCACATGGCTATCGTTCACAGGTGACTCATACTCACAGCACATGGCTATGGTTCACATGTGACT